GACATATGGACTCCCTTGAATCCAGTCCCTGGAGTCATTTTGGCCTTATTTGCTGCAATTTTAAGGGCCCGGCGATCCCATACTGCCATCGGCCCGGTCCGAGTGGCACCATCCGGTAAACCAAGGTAATCCCACTATCCCACCGCTTGAGCCTACAAAGTGGTAACAGATGGACGTCTTCACCCACCAGTTTAAAGTTGTTAGTATTGCTTACCAGTTATGTAGTTATAATGGTGTCAATGTTAATGCTTTGTCCTGTCAGGTATGTTCTGTCTTTTTCGACTTGGATGTTCACAAATAATTCACGTTAATTGGTGTAAAGCCTGTCGCTGGCCCTTTCGATGTTTTTACTTTGAGTTTGTGTTTGAGGGCGTGAGCGTCTGCAAGGTTAATCGCCTGGATGTATGTGTATGGCAGGGGTCCCCAACCTTTTTGACTACACAGACGAGACAGTAGTTGTCATACTGCTGACTGACATGGGGGGGGAGAGAAGGAGGAGTGCAACAGAACTGATAGTAATCTACGACTACTGTCATGTTAAGCTATGTAAAGCCTAGTACAGGGTTTCCGCGGGTCTTAAAAAAGTCTTAAAAAGTCTTAAATCACTTTTCCGTGAATTAAGGCCTTGAAAAGGTCTTAAATCAGACCAGTAAGTCTTAAATTCATATGATCATGGCATTAATTTTTGTGAGGGATTGTTTCCTCGTGTGTTTTGATTTTAAAGAGAAGCGAAAGCGTAATTTCTGTGCTACATGGCTTAGATCGCTCAATATTCATTGAACGGTAGATGGCGTTATGTGCTGCTTCATCTGTCAGTAACCCGAAGAAGAACTTGACAAGCATGCGCAGATGAACCCTTTCTTCTAAAGCGCGCTATTTAGACATGTAGTGCGATTGGAAGGCCGAAGAATACGTATATTCTTATGATTCTTATGATTATAATATGATATCATAATTCTTATGATTATAATATATTCGTATGAATTTCCCTACGATATTTTTTTTTTCCTTAAATTTTCTTTATTTGGTCTTAAAAAGGTCTTTAAAAAGTCTTAAATTTACTCTTAGAAAACCTGCAGAAACCCTGGCCTAGTAAGAGCAAAATTCAACCTTAAGCAGTATACTGTATAACACACACAAAAATCAATACTAACCAACTAATCAATACTAATCAATGCAAGCCTGTTTTCTGGAGGGAAGGTGATCATAGCATTAGGGTTAGGGTGACAGGTGTAGCGTGATTTTAAGGTCCGGTCTGCTGCGGAGCCTTGCTTTGGTGTTTGTCGAAGCAGAAAATCCAGCCTCACATAAGTGTGTGGATAGGAACATTATCTTCACTGACCGTGGATCTTTTTTCAGCAGCCCAGGTGAAAAAGTTAAAGTTGTTTGTTTCTTCATTTTCGCATTCATTTTTTCTCTCACTAGCGAGTTAGCTTTTCATCTAAAAACGACCGCGGACCTTGCAGGTTATGACACAAGTAAAATGTTTCCATTGTATATTTAATTTTAAAATTTTTAATAAGAGGAATTTGGTTTGTTGAACATTTAACTTCTACATTAATATAAGTTTCCTTGTGATTATGTAATGTAGTTTGATATTTCCAGGAAAATAAAAAACAAACACAATGCAGTTGGCCTACATTTACCTTTCCCCTTGCTTTCTAAGGGTTTCCACAGCTCAGTTGGGCTCTGTCCATGGCCAGGTACCGGTCCACGGCCTGAGGGCTGGGAACCCCCAGTGTAAACGGCAGCTGTAACATGGCACACCGGCTTCCGACAATCATTTGCGAACCATGTAGCTTCCCTGACCTCATTATCTACATTTAAGCAGCTCTGCGAAGCCCACTTACTGCTCAAGGTTACAGCTGTAGTGCCCTGTGTGGGAGTCGCAGCCTGCAAGATTCTGATTACCAGCTCACTTTTTACACCCTGGAAATTGCAATCATAACATCGTTTTGAGGAAGAGAGGTTTTAAATTTGCCAGGGGGTTCTGGGGCAGAGGACTCTGGGAAACTGCAACTGATGACCCCCTCCTACCCACCACCTTGCGCCCAACAGCTCATTAATTAAAAATTCAACCCACAACTGATATACTTAGCAGTTAGGGAGAGCTAAAATGAGAGAGAACGGATAAGACAGAGCAGTCAGCTGATATGATTAATTCAATAGATGAAGATTGATTTAATTTACACAGAATTCCCATAGCAATAAAATGCTCATGTTCCCTAAATGGATCATGCTTGTGACAGCTGATGCGATCTGAGAGGGAAACCAGAAATGTAAGTCATCTTTCTTACTGTCTCATATTCTCTCACCACCATCCTCTATTTCCCCCATAACAAACATTAAGCATCTCTCACCACTTCCATCCCTACTGGTGACAACTGTGCCCCATAGCCACGTATTCAAACACCTAGCATGCCGATATGAGTGTAATCATGAGTTTTGCAATCTGCAGGTGGGGAGAGAGCATCCCCTACAGGTATGGGGATGTTACTGCATGGGTAATGAACAATAATGGTAACTATGTCTGCTGCATACCAGCAACCAGCTTCTTTCCACCAAGGCAAAATAACACACATCGGCTGTATCTCAATTCAGGGGCTGCAACCTTCAAAGCATGTGATCTATGAGGATGTGGCCTTTGTAGGCTGCGTTGTTTGAAGACCAAACAGAAAGCATTGCAAATGGGATGGCCTGGCCCATGGATAATTTCCTATTTGCATCACCAGCTGTTCTTGTCCTTTCCCTAGACTGGCAAAGCGCAGCTTCCATTGCCTACCTGGGACACACTCTTTACCTCAATGAGTCTTGGGACAATTTAGGCTGTGAAGGATCCATCAGGTGCATCCTTTGCGGAGTGAGAATAGAAGGACGCATTTCTAGACTGCATTTGAAGGAGTCTTCGAAATGGGACAGCCTTGTCGCACCGCTGTGATGCATTCCGTCTTTGAATGCAGCCTTAAATGGATGAAGCCCCTGAATTCAAACCCTGTCTGTGTAAAATAACGAAGAAGTGATGTGAAATGGGCCAAGCTTTTGTCTGAGCAGCATCAGGGACAACTGTGATTTTTTTCAATGGGAAAAATAACGATGCAGCTATTCACAAGCGATCAATTTCAGAGAGGAAAGCAGCACTTAAGTCACATGAATAGAGGTCATTCTTCACAATATTGGTCTTCATAAAATTCCCTCTCGATTGCACCCAAAATTCTTTCCTGACTTCATGCACCCAGAAGTAACAGACCACATTATCTGTACTGTTTCTTTTGCATGCGAACAGCAACACAGATGTCCGCCTCTGGAACACGTGCATTCAGATCCTCAATGTGGATAAATCAGCTAGTGAAAGAAACACAAACAATGGGGAAAGAATACAGTACTGAGTAGCTGTACGTTGTGCTGTGTTTGATCATCTAAGGGGTTGAGTTCAATTGAGTTATGATGAACCTCAGAATGGAGTCATTAGACAACAGTTCCGCCCCCCATCCCTCCGTGTCCTGAAGCCTCGCAGCAGGCTGCTGTGCTGTGGAGGGATGACTAATGGATTCCTCTGAGAACCACGGAGCCCCAGGACTGAGAGACTAATGTTTTGTTTGGTATTAAAATGCGCAAGGCGACTAAACTCCCACTGAATTCTGTAAAAACATTCGGAGAATGGTCTCATCAATCACGCCTCGCGGCACTGGGGCTGTCTGGTCCTGGGTAGAGTGGGATGGCTAGATTCCAGCCCAAACGTGCATATGCACAAACATGCACAGGCAGAACGTCATTCTGCACTGTGCTGTGAAATCTGGAACATTTTTGAAGGTGTTTCAGAATGTAGGTGCACCTCAGACAAAGATCAACACACTGTTGTTTCATGGATTACTTAAAACGTAGTCAACAAATTGCAGCCATTATCATGCTTGAATTTTATGCTTTCTTAAAGGAATATTAGCAGTCCAATCTAAGCCTTGAATATGTTTTCCTACATGTTAAAATAGGAGTATGTCAACTGAGCATTTTTGTATCATAAAGCAGCTGCCTAGGGAATGTAGAGATGAGCCAATGGCATGTCAATACCCAGACTCCCACTATTCTGCTAATTTAAAGAAATGTGTACACACCTGTTGTATAGGATGGTGAGTTTAAGCAAGGGCCAAAAGGCAGACTATTGGTGGAGAATCAGGGTCAGGCAGGGTTGATTGATTTAAATGGATTGAGTGATGGGTCTGTTTCTGGTACTGTTTCACTGCACCCCCCCGCCCCACACACACACACACACACACTGCTACAAACAGCCACCCATGTCAAATACAGCATTGTAGCATGTGAAGTGTTGTGTACTATATGGGACGTTACCAAAGATGCCAAAACAGAGTTTGGAGTCTGGGGCTGCACAGCTGAAAAGAGGCTGAGGAGCTGCCCTTAGTGAGGTTCCAGCCTTTCAGGGCCAAACTGTATTGGGGTGAATTTGTCCAATAAGAAAAACTGATCACATTGACAGTCCTTCCTTAAAGTGCCAGAATGATGTCAAAGCAAAGTAACAGTTGGCTGTTTGGTCAATAAGATTGTAGGAAAATGTAGTAGCACCAATATCTATTATTGTATGATTATATAGTCATGTTAGCCTAACAAAAGTGTACTATAATTTCGAAGATCCTATCTACTTTCAAGCGGCTTGAACCAGGCAAGTCTCAACAGGACATTACCAGTATTTCTAGGCAACTACGCAACGCCAGGAAGCAATTGTGTGAAGTGCGATGAAAAGAAGTCATCGGTCGGTCTTTGTCAGTAACGAGGCTGCACTGTCTGACACGCCCCCATTCGCCATTTTGAGTGTATCGCCGACCTAAACACATTTGGTTAACAAACTTAATATTTCATATTCGGTGTTTTTTTTCTCCACAAAAATGTAATGTTTTATTTAAACACTAATAATCAATTTTCATTACCAAAACACACTAGTAATTTAGGTGTTTAAGAAAGGAAAAGGAACACCACAAAAAATGTAATTACATGGACATATATTTTATTTTAAATATGACCAATAAAGTTAAGTGGCAAGCAGAATACAGGCTCAGTATACAATGAGTTTATACAGGTCCTTCCAGACATCATGTGAAACGTTAGAAACCATACTTGCAAATGTTTCTAAACTTAAACAATAGTTGGCCATTGGTTTGTCAGGGCACAGCACACAGTGACAGCCTTATCCAGCATTGTGGCTTATAATCCATGCACGCGAATATACACATACATGCACTGATAAACGTGTCATTACAGTTTTGCTGTTTACTTTTGTCTTTAAAAAGCATTCACTCGACTCTGTAACGCTAGTTTAACACGAACAGATTAACCAATTTCTGCTACTCTCCGTAATGAGGCTAGCTTGCTAGCGTAGGTTAACCAATGTGAAAATACCAACTTTAGAAGACAAAAAAAATGCACATTCAGTAATACTACTTAAACAAAAAACATCTTACTTGCCTTTATGAAAATGCCGAGAGCAAACACGCATTAAGGGATATATCTTGTTGACAGAGATCTCCTTCCGTCTCACCGCTGCGACCCAGGCCACCCGAGGCCTCTTCGTTACCTCCTCTGCCTGCTGTCCATATCCTCTTTTCCAAGAGGGAAACCGAAAAAATCTCATGTTTTGGTCCACCTTTCTGCCATTTCTACCATGTGATTTAGTATGACAGCCTTTCACACAGTACGAGTGTCCCATCTTACCAAAGATAATGCTGCACGGAAATGCTGGCACTTGAGTTGTATACACCCACAATGGCGATTCGACCCACAATACACTGCGGCTATAGCGAGTGTGACGCCAACTGTCAAAGACCGATAGATGTTTGCATGTAGCACAGTAATTTAGCGTGCGTATAAGGTTTCAGGAATACCGGTGAACGTTTCATGTCTCTGCCAATGTTGTCTACTGGCGCTGCCGAGGCAACACCAACAGCATCAATTCTTTCAACTCCAGTGTGGAGTGTCCAAAACAGGCAGTGTGCGTAGCCAGTGATATTTGAAGCTGTGTGATTGACAGAATAATGAACCAGTTATATTTTGCCGTCGTCACCGGCAATCTCACGAGATCGGTATATGAGTCCCGGCTTTTAGTCCGTTATAGAAGTACATTCGCTTCACTGTGAACGGGCTTGTGGCTGAGCCGGTGGTCTGTGTAACGCGAGTTTAAAGTGAAGCTTAATTCCGTTTTCTATTGAAAATGAGGGAGATTGTCCATCTGCAGGCTGGTCAGTGTGGAAACCAAATTGGAGCCAAGGTTTGTTGATAAAGCCCGCGAAAACAGTTGAATAATATGAGTTTTATCTCCCTTAATCGGGTTTCAACCTGATTACAAAAAGTCAAAAGACTGAAGTTAATTGTTTATTGGCCGTGCAGCAGTTTCCTTCATTGCTGGCGTGTCTGCTCGCGTAAGTAGGATGCTTGTGAAGCACTAGTTCGGGCGCTTATTAAAGCGCTTTAATCTCGCCGGGCAGTTGGGTGACCGCTGTGTACTGGGCTGTTCAGCCGCTTGTTGCTGGCTGTCATGGCGACCGGAGCGCGGCTTTGCCCTTTAGCCGGGATGAGCCCGGGTCGCTCCGTTGCCGTGTCGGACTGATGAAGTGGCTATTATTTGTCCGCAGTTTTGGGAGGTGATCAGCGATGAGCACGGCATAGACCCCACCGGCACTTACCACGGCGACAGCGATCTCCAGCTAGAGAGGATCAATGTGTATTACAACGAGGCCACCGGTGAGTGGCCGCCGCGCCGCTGCTCTTTACGGGGGCAAATGGAGGGGGATTTCTGGCATTACTTTGCCTGTCTGTATTGCCCATCGCCTGCCCTTATGTTTCAGGGGGAAAGTATGTCCCCCGTGCCGTCCTTGTGGATCTGGAGCCGGGCACAATGGATTCTGTTCGGTCTGGACCCTTTGGGCAGGTATTCAGACCTGACAACTTCGTCTTCGGTGAGTAGAACATGGTCATGGAGTTACTTGTAGGAAAGACAAGAAATACTTGTATCTTAAGTCTTTCAACGTGCATGTATTTGAGAAGCTTAACACCGTTAAGTTATCCTGTACCTGCTGCTTAACAGGTCAGAGTGGTGCCGGCAACAACTGGGCCAAGGGTCACTACACTGAGGGAGCAGAACTGGTGGATTCAGTTCTGGATGTGGTGAGGAAGGAGGCAGAGAGCTGCGATTGTCTCCAGGGCTTCCAGCTCACCCACTCCCTGGGTGGGGGCACAGGCTCCGGCATGGGAACGCTGCTGATCAGCAAGATCCGTGAGGAGTACCCCGACCGCATCATGAACACCTTCAGCGTGGTGCCCTCCCCCAAAGTGTCGGACACTGTCGTCGAGCCCTACAACGCCACTCTGTCCGTGCACCAGCTAGTGGAGAACACTGACGAGACCTACTGCATCGACAACGAGGCGCTCTACGACATCTGCTTCCGCACACTGAAGCTGACCACGCCCACCTATGGGGATCTCAACCACCTGGTGTCGGCCACCATGAGTGGCGTCACCACCTGCCTGCGTTTCCCTGGCCAGCTGAACGCTGACTTGCGGAAGCTTGCTGTCAATATGGTCCCATTCCCCCGTTTGCATTTCTTCATGCCTGGGTTTGCGCCCCTCACCAGCAGGGGGAGCCAGCAGTACCGTGCCCTCACCGTACCTGAGCTCACCCAGCAGATGTTCGATACCAAGAACATGATGGCGGCCTGTGACCCACGTCACGGTCGGTACCTGACTGTGGCCGCGGTCTTCCGTGGACGCATGTCCATGAAGGAGGTGGATGAGCAGATGCTGAATGTGCAGAACAAGAACAGCAGCTACTTTGTGGAGTGGATCCCCAATAACGTGAAGACGGCTGTCTGCGACATCCCACCTCGTGGCCTAAAGATGGCTGCCACCTTCATCGGCAACAGCACGGCCATCCAGGAACTCTTCAAGCGCATCTCCGAGCAGTTCACCGCCATGTTCAGGCGCAAAGCCTTCTTGCACTGGTACACCGGCGAGGGAATGGATGAGATGGAGTTCACTGAGGCGGAGAGCAACATGAATGACCTGGTATCTGAGTATCAGCAGTATCAGGATGCCACTGCTGAGGAGGATGTGGAGTTTGAGGAGGAGGGTGAGGAGGAGCTGGCATGAAGGAATCTGGCTTCTGAGTGTTGGTTGGGTTTTTCTCTTTCAATTTTTTTTTTCTTTATATGCTGTCAACCTTAAATCTTTCAAAAAGTTAAATAAAATAGATGTGAATTAATTCGTAATTGGTTACTGTGTAGTGATTCGTTTCCTTTGATTAAGATCAGCCATGAGTAAAACTGGCAGCTGGGCTTGAGTCTCTTTCATACTGCTCATAGTTCTTCCTTTCAACATAAAAGCATTTGCTTGTAATGGATGAGGTTGTGCAGGAATCTGGTATATGGTCCTAGATTCTCTTCATGACAGAAGGTTCATGTCACTGGTTAAATTCTTGCACACACTTTCTTTTTAAGGACAAGTGCCCTGAATTCCCTTGCCTCCTTATCCTCTTGGCTGATTAGGCTATGGGTAATGCTTTTTTTTTCCTGGAAAAAATGTTTTTAACCTTGTTTTGGGCAGCTGCTACATTTTCCTCATCCAGTGATGAGTAGTTTGTGGAAGTTGAAATTTAAGTGTTTGCTACCGTACAGTCATGGTGAAGTCAGTTCAATCCAGTATCAATGATTATCGATGAGTATCCTTCAGTCTTGCATCTGGCTGAATGGGATATATCTGTCAACTAGTAGTAGAAAGTGTAAAATTGCTGAAATACTATGCCGCAGTTTCCCAACCGCACATTATTAATACCCGATTTAAGTAGTTACACTGATTCTTGTTCTGTAATTAAAATGCTTGGTAAGTTGTTTTTGGTTGCAAAGCTACTGGTAAAATACTTTAGTGTGTTTTGTTTTAAATGGAAACAATCGGTCTCAGTCATTAACTGATGACTAGCAAGAAGAAAATTGCACAATGACAGTTTAGCTGTTTGTAAGCTAATATTTAATTTAGTGAATGATAGAGATTTTAACATGTTTTTTGAGGAAGCTATAAGAGAAATTGATCGCAAGAAAGACCACCTGTGTTCTGTTCTTAAATGTCTCCCCTTAGATCATCCTGCAGTGTTGGGGGGGAGGCGTGCCGGGTCGCTGCGGGGGGCAGCGGTCTGTCCTGCCGGGGGATGGGCTGGGGGGGCTAGGGCCCCTCCGGTGTGTGGGGGGCCGTCCGCTGGGTTGGTGGTCCCGGTTGATGGGGCCCTTTGGCCCTGGACCCGCCTTCCTCGGTGTGGGGGTGCTGTATAATTGTGATAAATCTATGTGTTTCACCATGCCTAAAGCGACTGCAAATAAGCCCCGAAATAAGGACATTAATCATGAAATCCATTCTGCTGTGAAATAGCAATTTCCTTCCTGTTTTCTTTAACACAAAAAGTCACACATTGATGATGAAAGCATGCTTGGGCCAGGATCATTAAGTGCAATGTGAGTGCAGACCAGCAAGGGAATGGGGAGAGGGGCAATCATGTTCAGGTAGAGTACAGGGCAACTGGGCCAAATGTGAGTACACCCTCAGAGTATCAGAAAATCAACACAAATGACACCTGAACAGAGATGCTAATTGCTGCTCCTGAAACAGAAACTCCTCAGTTCTTCCACTAATTTACTATAGATCACCAGGCACAATGCAAAAGCAGCTAATAACAGACACATACACATCAGGTGAAGATTCCAAACAGTTTCCCAGTGATGAATTATGGGGGTGGCAGCATCATGCTTTGGGGACGTTTTTCAGTGGCAGGGACTTAGACACTATTAAGGGTTCAGGGAAAGATGAACAGAACAAAGTACAGAGACATCCTTAATGAACACCTGCTCTGGACCTCAGACTGGGCTAAAGGTTTACCTTCCAACAGGGAAATGACAGGAAGCACAAAGCAGAGATAATGCAGGAGTGGCTTTGGGACCACTCTGAATGTCCTTGAGTGACTCAGTTAGAGCCCAAACTGAAACATCTCCAGAGAGACCTGAAAATTGCCACTGACAGTCTCCATCCAAACTGACAGAGCATGAGAGGATCTGCAGAGAAGAGTGGCAGAAAATGCTCAAATCCAGGTCTGTGAAGTCAAACCCAAGAACACCCAAATTTGGTTTGCATCTTTAAAGGTTCAGTTCACTCCTTCACCATCTAATCCTTTTAATGGAAGTGTGTCTATATCTTATATATATGTGGTGCTCTGTTTGGTTGATTTGTTTAATTTTTTTGTGAACATCTGGAACCTGAACCTGAATCCTCTGCCAGCAAGCAAGGCAGAGGACATTTACTTTTATTTATTGGACACGTCTGTCCAAAGCGATACACATGAGAGGCAAATAGTATGTTACAAAGACATGGCTGTCAGCGAGTTGACTAGGCTGAGCTCCAATTGGAGTTTTGCTCCAATGAATGCTCAGGTACCAGTGTAAGAAGTATTGGGGCAGGAGCTACACAACATGAAATGATGCTTCATTTGCACAAGTACATTGGAATTTGTCCCTTCGCCGACCCCCTCTTGCTCTCCATGAGACACAGACACATATGCAGGTGAGAGCAAGCTTGGGGATCACAGCACTGGGGCAGCCAGTGTACAGCAGCCCTGGAACTGGGGGTTGAGGGCTTTGCTCACGGTCCCACAGACATGTGACTTAATACCTAATTCCAAATATCTTTTAAGACAGGGGACACCCCTGGATGGGATTCCAAGGCGTAAACTCACACACACGTAGTCACACACTGACCAATATTGAGACACTAGCTTGCATAAAATACATGTTCTTAGACATATTAGTGGAATACAGAGCACTCGACACACACACATATAGATTGGATCTGGGATTGAAACCCATAGCCCTGGAGTTGCATGACTCACTGAGCCCCCGTGCTGCCAGGTAAGGGTTAGGGTTAGCAATGATATTATTCATTAAATCTTGACACGACGCTGCATGCGCTATACTTGCGCAATGCCTCCCTGCAGGCAGTAGTTCTGTTTTTTCTTGTTTCTCATGCTTCTGGGTTCTATATCTGGGGCTGCAGACAGGAACTCGCCACAGAGTTTACTTCCTGTGTGACAGCTTTATTGACATTCATGAAAAACTGGTCCTGTGGCGCATTTCTCACACCGGAGTGACAACATGGCCTTTCACATTTCAGGTGAGTGGTAGAGAGAGTCGTCGCCCTGCATGCCTCAGACCACGATCGTTTGAAATCATATTTCTCAGGTCTGATCAAAGCGGTATAGAAGGAAACAGCATGAACCTCAGAAGAAGAAAAAAACCCAAATGGCATGAATGGTTTCAGCTCATCTTACTGTGTTACTCTTTGCACTTCCAGTAGATGCTAAACCACATTATGCTGTTATTGTAGATGTATTTGTCCAATGACAAAGTTATATTTAAGTTTTTTAAGTATGCATCCATTTATCTATCTATCTATGGCCCTTGTCATAGTATTTTCAGCTGTTGAGGCAAATGCCATTATTGCTAAAGGTTCCTTTAAAGTCAGGTGGAGTCCACATTTTAAAGGGGGGCAGCATTTCCAGCCACTGCTAATGTACTATGAGCCGTGTTGCAGCTGCTTTCGCTGTACTGTTTGCTACAGTTCTGCCACAGCTATTCAGCAAGACATCTTTCATAATGTTTTGCAAACCTTACAAAAGCCATCAACTTGGCATCGAAATTACCAACCCGATTCACATTGAGGATGATGAGGGATAGATGTGTAAGTAAAACTAGCTAACGGATTGTCGTAGTAACTTTGCAGTCATTTAGTGTTCTTGAAGGATAATACGTTGTTTCTCGATTACTTTGGCACATTTCATGAAACATTCTCAAAACTATAAGAGCATTTCTCAAAACAGTTCATGCATTTAGCACAACACTATGGTTTAGCTGCAAAAGCCTATAACTCACCCAAAACAATTAACTGATGTCTGAATAGCAAATAATTCCACCAATGAATTAGTCAGTGACACCAAAATGAAAAGTACAATCAGCATTGTTTTAACTATGAGAGTCAAAATGCTTAGATATATTGTCAGCATGTCAGTGTAAGTCTGCTCCTGAGCTCCACAATGCTGAATAATAGTCAGTTCCCACATTCTCATTGTCATTGACTGATCATTTTTCTTTAGCAAACTGATACTTCTTCATGTCAAAGACACTGGTTTCAATATTGCAAGGCTCTACATTACAGTAAGTAAAGTTCACTGGCCAGAGAAAGCACTCGCTTGTGCATGTAACGTTTTAAGATCTCAAGACACAGTACAATAGCAAATTAGTCACACAGCAAAATACAAAAATAGTAAACCAGCAATACAAGAACAACAAAATGAAAACAAACACATGTACTGTGTGAACCAAAAGCACAACAATGCTGTATCACTGCAGTTTATAGAATGTATTTTTAAATCTTTTTGAAAGTTTCGTTGACTAGTGTGCATGTGGTGACCAAGCCCATGACCACACACATATATAGTTTAGGGTGTAAAATTATTAAACTACATAATCTATTTTAACAATCAAGACGAATGCAACTGAAAACTTTGACAAATGATGACATTAGTACAAATCCATTTGCTTATATGAACTGAAACATTTGGAAATTTTTGTGAAGCAATGAGAAATGATGTGCTGTGTGCATAAATGTCATTATGGAGTGGGGATTACACTTGTTGTTTTGCAAATCCTAATTGTCATTTAAGAAATGCTCAAAAGCAATCGAGAAAAGCTGTAATCACCATGAGCCAGGCTAAGCCAAAGTCAGTCTGCGTGGGCAGGATGCAATCACAGAAGCCAGTGATCATTGAGGAGTGTCCGTTTACTGTGTTCTTGTTTGGCAGGTGGCTGTGTGTCAAAGTTTGCAGCCACTTAACAGCAGCCCCAGGGCTCAACCTGGGCTGCCAAA